CTACCGATACTGTGATATTTTTTTTTATATCATTACTAGTAAAAATGAAGAATATTTTAAGGTTTTTTACAACTCATTTGCTGAATGAAGTGTTGAGTCAAGTAAACAAGAGGATACCCAAACCTATTGCTATGGGTTGAACATTAAAAAGGCTAAATCTACTGGCCTACATTCATCCATTAACAGATATGACTTTTGGGGAACATTGGTTATGGTTGATACACAGGTGCTTTTGTTCGATAAAGCCTGGCTGGCGTCAGGATAGCACTTTAACATAATTTTATGCAGCAGGTTTCATTCATGTATGATTGATAGAGGGCGCTGTCACTCCACCCTCTAATAACTTTATGTTCTTGCAGGGATTTGAATCCAATGTTTCAAGGGTACATGCAACATGATGCGCAAGAGTTACTAAGGTGTCTTCTGAGTCATGTACAAGATGCTAGTCAAGAATTGCGGAAAATAGAGAAAGAATCAAGGAAGGCTAAACTGCAGCAGCAGGCAAATGGTCATAACGGCAATAGGCTGGAAACTGTCAATGAAGACGGTAGTCTGTGTGAAAAACTTAAAATAGAACAGAACGGATATACAAACGGAAATGGGTCAGCATCTTCGTGCAGTACCTCTGTCAATGGGGAAGTGAAAACACACAAAAAAAGCAAGAAGAAGCGGAATAAATCTAAGTCACCGAAAAAAGAAAAGGATAATTCTGTCAACATGGACTCTATATCCTATAGTAGTAGTTTAGAGTCGCCGACAAATACTATGAAATCAACAAAGAAAAAGAAACGTCTTGGCCTTGGGAGAATTAGACAGGCTTTCTTTGGGAAGTCTAAGAGTAAAAATAAGGACGGTCTGCAGAATGGAGACATTGCTAATGGTGAGGGAAGCCTTTCACCAAATGGAAGACTAGTCAGGGAAGCTGAGTGCCAGACGGCAGATGATGATGATGACGACGACGATGATGTCCCTGCTGATAAAATGGAAGATGTCTCCATTAATGATGTTGGTAAAATTTACTCCAATAAACTGAGATCTCGTAGCAGTAGTACGTCTTTATCAGAGATCGATTCTGTGGTCTCCATGGACACTGTTAGAACAATTGAATCTGACTGTATGGAACTTGGGGGTTCTGAAACAGAAATTGATTACAAGGTACAAGTTGTGGACATAGTAGATAAACTGTTTCAAGGTTCCCTTGTGATGCGCACACGTTGCTTGGAATGTGAATGTTCCACTGAAAGACGAGAAGTGTTCCAAGATGTCAGCGTACCAGTCCAGAGTGACAACGGCAATAATGATGAAGATGATGATGGAGGTGAGAATAAAAATAAAAACTATTTTATGTGGAGAATTTGTTAGATCTGTTTATGTAGTTGACATCTTGTAGTGGTTGTGCTATTTGTTCTTCATTGTAATGTGTGTTACATGTTGGATATTTGATGAAACCCTAATGAAATATTCACTGTTACGAAATCTAAATTTTGTCTATCTAGCTCAACAAGTATGCTGAAATCTCCAATATACTGTATTTCAATCCAGTGATATTATTTTAAAAATTCAATTAATTTTTTTGTCAGTGTTTATTCATACATATTATCTCTACTCGTATCTTGGAATGCATACCTGGCTCATATCTTGGAATGCATACCTGGCTCATATCTTGGAATGCATACCTGGCTCATATCTTGGAATGCATACCTGGCTCATATCTTGGAATGCATACCTGGCTCATATCTTGGAATGCATACCTGGCTCATATCTTGGAATGCATACCTGGCTCATATCTTGGAATGCATACCTGGCTCATATCTTGGAATGTACACCTGGCTCATATCTTGGAATGCATACCTGGCTCATATCTTGGAATGCATACCTGGCTCATATCTTGGAATGCATACCTGGCTCATATCTTGGAATGCATACCTGGCTCATATCTTGGAATGCATACCTGGCTCATATCTTCGAATGCATACCTGGCTCATATCTTCGAATGTACACCTGGCTCATATCTTGGAATGCATACCTGGCTCATATCTTGGAATGTACACCTGGCTCATATCTTGGAATGCATACCTGGCTCATATCTTGGAATGCATACCTGGCTCATATCTTGGAATGCATACCTGGCTCATATCTTGGAATGCATACCTGGCTCATATCTTGGAATGTACACCTGGCTCATATCTTGGAATGCATACCTGGCTCATATCTTGGAATGCATACCTGGCTCATATCTTGGAATGCATACCTGGCTCATATCTTGGAATGCATACCTGGCTCATATCTTAGATATACTTTGAACATACTCCTAAAATTTTACTCATTAATCATGTGAATTCATTACAATGTCATGACGAATTGGGCAGGCACACTATCATAGTGGCAACTATCTTTTGATGTATCTTGTGGGTAAAACTTATAACTGTATCCATTGTTAAGGAAAATTAGCAGTGTTGAATGTCGCGTACGGTCACTCACTCACTCACCGTAGAAGCGAAATCTTATCAGAAGGTAAAGACTGTAGGTGTGGAGGGAAGTAACTAGCGGAACGGTTACCTGGCATCTAGACTAATTCTTTATGTATGTTTGGGGGACTATGTCCTATCAGATAGGTAGTTACAACTGTTGATCCCATGTGCTGTTCTTCACAAGGAGTAGTAATGCTAATACAACTTTTTTTATTTTTCATTATTTCTGGAAACAAACTCTAATTTTGGAGCCAGCATGCAATTGAGTAAATTTTAAGTTTTTACTCAAACATTTGTCTATTTTTGTCCCAATCTTCTGAAGGAAAGTGTAGACTATTTAAACAAGACTACTACTGGTGGTTAAAAGGTTAATCATCCAGCCGACTGGGGCTGAGCGAGGATTGTGTTATCTATATTTGATAATTGAAATATTTATCGCTTAGCATGTTGCTAAATCAATACTTGTGGTAAACTAATAAGTAGTCAAAACAGGAAATTTGTGACTTTATGGGTGAGCGGCAATGTTAGTTCAAACATGGTTGCTTTTCATTTGCTGAAAAAACATTAGCATTTATAACATTCTCTGAACTAAGCTTGCGTAAATTTCTTCCGCTTAGCTAGTCAAACCATGACCATGCAAATAGTTTTTATGATACCCTTTTTTTTTTTTTTAGGTTCTCCAAGACCACCCAATCTTTCACTCAGTTGGGCCATATCTGAGTTTGCATGTAAAGAACGCTTAACTGGAAATAACAAGTATTACTGTGAAACATGTATCAGGCATACCGAAGCAGAGAGAACTCTACATTTTGAAAAGCTACCTCAGGTCTTTACTGTTCATTTGAAGAGGTTTACTGCTACAGTAAATGGGTAAATAATATTTTAATACTGCTGCAATAACACTCGATAAGTGTTATTTTCTTCACTTAAAGCAGAACTGTCATTTTCAATGATTCTGTTACACAACTTCTGATTGGTCACCATCTATGTCACTCAAGGTCAGGGCTATTATGACCAAGCTCAACACATAATTTTGACAATTGTTTGAATTTATCAGCTTGCCTGTAATATGCAATTAGCTTTTGAGCATTTCTCGTAAAAAAACTGATTGTTATCAATATGTGAACATTCATTGTGTGAGCTTTGTATATGCACAGTTCTGACGACAGTGCTGTTTTAAGGTATGAACTTGCCAACTAGTATAAAATTTAAAATCACTACAAATAAAAAAGAGCGATTGCCAAAACTTGTTTCTATAGAAACCAGGACCGATTTCTCCCATACTCTGCTCTGGTGGCCATTTTGAAATCCATGCTTGTCAAAATGCAACTGTGGTTCATAATAAACAAACTATTACAGGTTCCTAAATGTTTTTCCCCTGTCATTTATTACGTACATGTAATGCATACGTTATTAATAGAGCAAATACAGTAGCAGTTTAAGGTTTTATAATTGATGAACTACCACATGGCAATGTTGATCTCTCAAGCAATATTGGTTACTATTCTCCCAGGCTGAATATTCATTTTACACACATTTTAGTGTTTACCTTCAGTTTTGTAACATTTGAACAATAATTATGTGTTTGCAATAATTATGTTATTTGCAGATATTATCAAACGGGTACAGTCTCCAAGGTAAACAACCCGATAGCAACGCCGACAGAACTCAGCTTGGAACAGTGGTGTACTGTCAATTGTGAGGACAGTCAATGCAAGTATCAATTATTTGCAGTCGTCATGCACAGTGGGGTATCTAGTTCCAGCGGACATTACATAACATATATCAAACATTCTGCTAAGGATGTGTCAACGAGAGCTGATCATAGGTCAAATGGTGTTAACGGAGATCTCAAAGAGGTGATGACGAATGGCGCGACTGTGCAGGAAATATGGTACCAGTTTGACGATGAGAAAGTCATTGAAATGTCCGATGAGGAATTTGAACAACAAATGTCGCCGGCCACCACCTCCACTTGTACGCCATATTTGTTGTTTTACAAAAAAATTGGGTACTAACTTGAAACATTACAATAGAGTACAAGAAATCAGCTATGCAATTCTAAATAGGTATGAGGCTTGTCGGGATGAACTTCACTGCCCAGTGAAATGTACATGCAGGGTGATATCAATGACTATCTATCCCAGAATGCAGTATTCAATATGGCAACTATGTAAATATGTATATAAAGAAAATTGTGATAGAGGGCGCAATTTATAAAACATTTGTTGAATATTGCATACAGTATTGTTATAATGCAATTTATTAATCTTTATGGGGGTGTTGATATAATAATTGAGTTCACAATAGTGTATTATTGTTTACACAATTTGAGAACTAACAATTTTCTGAGGCATGATGAATATTACCAAACTAGGTAGTGATTGGTGATAAATCAGTGACATTAATGACACTATGGGTCTGTGTTGGCGCTTACAACTTACATTTCTGTACATCGGCTTGTTTATTATTTCATTTATTGAAGAAATGATGTTATCAATTCATCATATATTCTGATTTATTACCATATTAATTTTTTTTTATAGAAAATAATAAAAAAAACCTGCCTCATATTTTTTTTCTCAGTCAATGCAGCTGATTTTGTTTTTCAGAATTTGTAAGTTGCATATGTATTTTCGTTGAAATGCTTTTGACAATATTCCCAATTTTGATATTGCTTTGAAGAACAAATTTGTAATATACTGGAAACAATACCAGTTTAATACAATAGTTTTTTTGTCAATGACATTATTTCAGTCATGTACAAAAATTCATAATCATTAAAATTGAAAATCCATGCAAATCGGTACTCATAGAATGTATCACAGGGTTATGCGAAAATACTGTATTTCTTAACAAATGAATAATAAAAATAAGTCTCAAGTCGTTTTGAGTGTTTACCATGGGTAACACAGATGTAATGATTTCTCAATTGTTAGCCTTGAGTTGAATTAAGTACATGTGGTGGTAATATTATCTCACCCATGTGTCACTTATGTAATCATTAACCCAACTGATTAAAACCTGTGTTTGTTATTTACCATTATATTACATTACTGCACACCATTTAATTTTCACAGAAAAGAATTCTGGAAAATAAAAATTTGTGAATCACTTTGACTTGGTGTCTTTGAGCACCACAGTGAGTATTTTACCGCTACAAAGTTTCAAACAACTTGCTATAATTTGTCATTCATAAAATTAAAACGTTGCTTCAGCATATACAGATTTATATTGAATGTATATTCTAGAATTTAATTACGAGATTTTTGACGTCCATCCATTATTAACTTTTAGAGAGACGAATTGAAGTAAATTAATTACATCTAGCTTGCCTGTCAAATCTATGGTTTTATCACAGTTTTCCTGCCCACTGCAATTGATTTGAAGCTACCAAAATGAATTTTCACAGTCTTGCAGTGTGCCAGTTCTGGAGGCAAAATATATAGATTCAAATTTCCTGTTATTACCCCCCAGCCAAAATCATGAACAACAATCAATTCATACCTGTAAGGCCAGACTTTTTTTATTCTTTGTTTCTCGAGTTTTTATAAGGCAATTTTTTTGAGGGCAGGGAAAAAAAAAAATTAATTCTTTTTTTTCATTAGATTTGTGTGGTTTTCAAAGAATTTTAAGTGAGATCATTGATCGGAAAGAAGAAATGAAAAAAAAATGTTATTCTATGTATAACCTTGTTTCTCATCTGTGCAAGACTTCGGTACTTTGATCATGATACTCCCACGAAAATACAACTTGGATTTGTTATGCGACGGGCGGTAAAAAAATGAAGATAAAAATATTTTTTTTTAGCAATTTTTTGCGCTTACAAGTCGGTGGGCGCAAGAAATTACGCTGAAATAAAATTTTATTTTTATTTCATTTTTGGCTCCTGTTCATTCGGCGGGTTCGCGAAACAAGGGATAATAAAAGTCTGGCCTAATATATGTTATCACGCTACACACTTCTGCTTGTATTCACTTGGGTAATTTTTGCTGAGGTTTAAAGTCAAATAATTTTATCTAACAATCTCAGAATGTTGGCCCCCTATGATGTGTATAGTGTATGAGTACTGCCAAGTATACACTCAAACAGTACATAGTCACATTCAATGCATTTTTTATAAACTGAAAAAACTGTAATTGGTCACTTCATTTATTGCTTTCTATGTGTGACATTTACTGCAGTCAGTTATGTGTCTATGCTGTAGCTGCCATTTAAACCTGGACACCATCACTTCCATGTTCCTTTATTTACATTTCTGTGATTAGCATTTTACTTTGACATTGGCATGTTTACTACTGTTTGTAGTTTAAAATAGAAATAACTCTCACTAACTGTAAATAGCATTTTAGTCATTGGACATTACTGATGTATGAGGGCGCCACATCATGCAAGTTCTGTAGGATAACAGTTACCGGTAACTGCCATATGAGGGCTCAGTCTCACCAATGGCCTATTACCCCCCCCCCCCCTTCCAAAGTAGCTAGATTTCTCAATGTTTGATCACCCTCTAAGTTGCAGTGGTGTGTTCAGCTGACTTTATTGGGTTGTTTACATGTATTCGGCTTTAGATACTGTGATCTTGTGACTGAATATGGATTTACTAGATTGTATTTTCTCTACTTTTGGTATGTACTTAAAAAGTTGTAATAAACTTGTACATGTATTTGATTTATGGTCTCTGATTATACCAGCAATATTTTCAATACCGGCACATAATAATTATTAAGACACTCAATTTGCAGCACATATCAAACACAATGCTCCATGAAGGTGGAAAAGTTGCTTTAAAGTTTTAGGAAGTTCGGAGACTCACTTTACAAGACATATGAAAACTCGCAAAAGAGATATTCAAAAAAAGTCACAAATACCGTTGGAGGCTAGGCTTTCTCGGTACAATATCTTCCAGAAATGCTCAAGCTCAGGTCAAGGTTTATACGTTTGCTGCTTTTATACTGAACAGTGAGGGAGGGAGGGAGGGAGGAACTAAACAATCTCCACAAAATCTTCAAAGCCAGGTTAGGGTCATCTCAAGGGCACATGTCACATTGTCGTATTATTTTTACCTTTTCATTCTCAATTCAGTCGCGTGTACAGTAACCAAATTATGCAAAAAGATGGTACGTACGAGAAAGTGCATGCGGTACATGCGATTTTGATTAAACTGCGACTCTGTATGAAGGTGGATTGTGACAACACCTGGTGTACATGTTGTGGAGTAGGGACAGACAAGATTGCAATGTTGAATATTATTTTACGAGAGCTCTTTATAATTTTACCTATTATATTCATTTATTACAGTATGTTGTCACCCAGCTATAGTTATAAGAATAGCATAATTAATGTTTATATAATTTATTTGAATACAATGTATGTCCCTAGTCTATGTATATGAACTGGTCTATGTAACACTCTCATAACACACATTTGTGATTCATGCATGAAAAGTATGTGAAAGGTGGAAAATTGTATGAAAGGTCACGAAAGTCATCTGTAATTATGAGCAATCCATTTGGAAGGTGGAAAAATTGCCTGAAAGTCAATGTCTTGCAGGGTCATTTTGAAAGGAAATTTGGTTAAAAAGTCGTGAAAGCAGTCTGCAAAATTTGAAATGACGCTTAGGAACATTGATATTTGCCTGAAAAATCACAGAAGCATTTGCATATCAAGAGTTGCCTTGGAAAGATGGCTGAAAAGGCATGAAAGTCATCTGCAAAATATCTTCACAAAAGCAGTCAGTTTGTAGTGTCTGAAAAGTTGTCTGAAATATCACAAAACTATATGCTAAGTTCCATAAGTTACCTTGGAAGGTGGACAAATTGCTCGAAAAATCATTAAAGCTTTTTGAAAAATTCAGAAAGTACCATTTGAAAGGTTGCTGTCTGAAGGCTGAAAATTTACAAAAGCTATTTGAAAAGTTGTATTTCTAGATAGGAAAGTAGCCTGAAATATGGAAATGGTAGGCAAATTCCAGTCTTTGGAAGAATAAAGAGTTGTCGGCTAAGTTCAAAAAGTCTCTTTGAAAGGCAGGAAAGTTTTAATAGTTCAATAAATATCACTAATATTTTATTGAACTGTACACTCTGGTAACGCTAATACAGTATTTGAGCTATAAAAAATAGTCATTCATATTTCAGTAAAATAAAACATAATTGCATTGTTTTTTTGTACTATCGACACAACAAACCCATTCTCTTCATGTTTATAAATTTCACAATGAAACAAACATGAGATTTCTATTAGCCGACATAATTGAAACTTTACATGATTGGACACTGCAGTTGCTGATTGCTTGAATTCAACCTTCATATAAATTTTTATAAATATTTATGAAAGTGAATGGGTTTGCTGTGTCGCAGCAGCGAAAGTCCAACTAGTAAAAACAGCAAAGTACAGCTGTTTGTAGCATTTGAAGATGAATGTGAAGGGATGCAACGCAAATGAATACAAATCTAAATAAAGCTTGTGTGTATATTTTTAATTTTAAATCGGCACATTAAGGAGGCATGAGCTGTGTTTTGCTTGAAGTTTTTTATTCCATTTGCTATTGATCCAAAATTCTTATTGCGGTACTACATGAGTGACCATGTATAGTTATATATATATAGTTACAATTATTACAACAGTTACAAGTATTCATTGTTTTACCTGTGAATCTCTGAAAACCAAGCAATTAGGACCAAATAACAAAATAGTGAAATTAAATATAGAAAAACTATCAACTGTACATATATTCTTTACAATATGGTCATTGGAATGTAGTCTAAATACCGTAATAAAATACAGAGTTTCTGTCTTTATTCACAGTAAGTGAGCTAATTCATTATCTACAAACATTCAGAGAGGTTTCTCATTGATAAATTAAAGTAAGACGCACCATAACAGGCCTCATGCAGGAGCTATGAATGGTCACATATCCTGGAACTTTCTGGAGATAGAAATTCGTTATAAATGTAAATTTCTCAAATATTTTCCTCCAAAAAATGTAAATGGTTCAAAATTAGGATGTATGACCTTTATGATTATGAATAGGTACCAGGATGTATGACCTTTGTGATTATGAATAGGTACCAGGATGTATGACCTTTTTGATTATGAATAGGTACCAGGATGTGTGACCTTTTTGATTATGAATAGGTACCAGGATGTATGACCTTTGTGATTATGAATAGGTACCAGGATGTATGACCTTTGTGATTATGAATAGGTACCAGGATGTATGACCTTTGTGATTATGAATAGGTACCAGGATGTGTGACCTTTTTGATTATGAATAGGTACCAGGATGTATGACCTTTGTGATTATGAATAGGTACCAGGATGCGTGACCTTTTTGATTATGAATAGGTAACCAGGATGTATGATCTTCATGATTATGAATAGGTACCAGGATGTATGACCTTTGTGATTATGAATAGGTACCAGGATGTGTGACCTTTGTGATTATGAATAGGTACCAGGATGAATGACGATTGAGTTCAGTGCCAATACAATTAAGTGAATCTCCATTTACTAGTGTATATCAAGAAAAACCCATTAATAATGTTTTGAACATTTTCAGGGTGCACACTAAAAACTTCATGTAAACAAACAATGCATTTCACATGCGTTGTTTATGTCGCTATGAATCTCATATCAAACAGCATGGAGCCCTTCAAATGATATGGCTGATTCTTTTATAGCGTAAAATTACAATATTTCAATACTGAAATATTATTGGTTGTTTTGGCATTTAAATCATTGCCACCAAATCATGCAGTCCATAACACAAACTAAAAACCTATTTGTTGGGTCACAGGATTGTCACTAGAACAACAATTTGTTTTTTTCCCGAGCAATTCAACCACATTCAGATCCCACCAATCTTACATGATTTTTTTTCCTTATTAATGAATAACATAACTAGTTACATCTTTCAGTAAATCTATCTATGAGTGTTCTACACTTATTTGAAATCACCAACAACTTAATATTCTGAAAATTCACCAACTCAAAAAAACAATGATTTTTCCTTCTTTTTTTTTTCTAACAATTTAGCCAACTTTAAAAATAATTATTTATTTATGGTCAGATTAAATGAAGGATTACTCTTCTGCGAATATTTCAACATTTGTGACAGCTGTGGCACTGAGGAGCTAAAATGCCTGTGTCATAGTGTAGTTGTCATGACAACCATATGAACTGCATTGGTAAGGACAGAATCCAGTGCTGGTTTCTCAGTCTTTGCATTCAACACTTTAGAAATACAAGTACACAACAGCTATCATATACTAGTATTATATATCTAACCCATCACACGCTAAAGTACACTTTTGTCAACATTCACAAATCAAACATGTGTACTTTTTTTTTTATGAATGTTAATTAAGACCTATAACCAATTAACAATGTCCAAAATTAAAAAAAAAAATATAAATACCGATAAGCAAATGTGCAAAACCAATTATACAGGAAAAAATATTGGTTAGTCTGTTTGAAAATTTCAAATTTCATGAGGAGCTATCAATTGACACAGCCATCTCAACTTCTGCTCTAAATTGAGTTTTGATTTTAAAATTACAGTGTACATGACAATCCCTATGATGATGTTGGGAATAAACTACCAATACCTCATTAATCAATATATTGGTAATACCGGTAGTAGTAAAGTAAAACAACATCTGTAATATCATCTGCCATATCATTTCATACTGTTTCCCGATCACATCATGATGTATCTTTCACCTTGCACTGTTTCTCTATTGTCATATGAGTGAAGCCAACCAACATCTCCTGGATCTCATCAACCTATGAAAGAGGAGAAAAATGTTACAAATTACCTTTTAACAACACAAACAGAACAGTTGAACAAATTATGTGCAGAAGACATTGACCCTTTGTGAGGGGTAGCCTTCTATGACTAAAGTAGATGGTATCACTGTCATTGCAATACAACAATACACTGTTATAACATCAAGTAGAATTAATAAACACCAACTATGATACCATAGCAAGGTTTTATCAAATAAATCTGTTCAACACCATCTGTTGAAAAAGCCTCCACGGAAAGCCAAAATGAACAAAAAAACAAATAACAGTAGACAATATGTTAAGTATTATCGTACTTCCCCAATCATAAGCTCAGGAGCCTGAACATGTAAAATCGGGGGAAAGTTAGGGGTGGGCTTATACTCGAGGACCATCTCACGAAAAACTATCCAAGTTATATCTTTCGTTCACCACGTTGGGTTCTGTTTGAAGAGATTAAATGCAAAACGAGTTGTAATTGATTTCTACAACACTTTTACAATGAAGAAACAAACATGTTCATAAAAATACAAACATTTAATTACAGTATGATTGACATACCGCCTGAATTTACGGTGTAAAAATGGGTGGGGTCTGTGGGTAACAGACAAAGGCAAGATCTTTATCATTATCTTCAATGTAGGGTGTTTTCGATCGAATGCAAACTCTCGATACAAAGCAATTTCACCACGATTTGACCTGAAACGTCCTTTGACCTGATAGGTCATGTCTTTCATTAACTAATCAAAATGCTGTGTCGCACTGACGAAATTTTCCGATTATTAACGAAGTAATTTTTTTAACACAATGCACAAGTGAATTACAGAGATATTAAAATGTGATTTTTAGCACTGATTTTAACGAAAAAAATAGTGATTTTTTCCCTAAAACTGGTGATTCACAATTTTCAAAAGGTAAACTAAGCATGGAGAAGGTAATTAAATACCTTTCACGGTCGCAAACAGGTTACGTTGAAGAATAGTTTACTTGTTCACACCCCAATAATCTCAATGAACACAATTAAACGAAATGAAGTCCAATGACCAGATTTAACGACTTGACGATCAAATTGTTGGCGTTTCAAAAGCTACTACTCAAAGAAATATGGATTACTTCAGTATTGCAGCATTGTTAATCATCTTGAGTAAATAACAGAATAGAAAGAGTGCAAACCATGTTGTGCATCTCATAAAAGCATGAAACAAACTACAGAACCATTCACGATTTTTATGCAATGAAACATACTTTTTACACACATATTTTAATGAAGTAAAAAACCGGTAAAAACACCCTGCATTTTAATCAGGGATGCCCTCAACTTGTTAAATGTTCAAAAATACAGGGTAGGCTTCGACTCTGGGAATCATCAAGGAAATATTGTACAGGTATGTGTACTAGTTGCAATACTAAACAATTGTAGTATAAAATTGGTTCCTCCATGATTGTTTTAAAAGTCAAGATAATAACTTGAAGAGAGTACTACAAGCTGCCTCAAAATAAATAAAAACATTTACTATTTTGTTTTATAATCATTTCATTTTATTTTTTCAATACTATACCTTAATTGTAGAGGATACGATAACAATAAAGATGATGATTATACATCTGTCACCGTAATGCCATAAGTTACAGCGTGCCGTAAATTTGTGGTATTTTATGGGTTATTTTCATCCTACCATATTAGGAAATGCAAATTCCAAATATGGAATAATTACACGTGTAAACGTCCTCTTATAACAAAAACAAACATGGCTGCCACCAGGGTTTGACCGCACTCCATACAAAGAAGTTTGCTGATTCCGTTCTAAAGTTTTTGGATTTCGGCATTCCCATGATGTATTCTTGGAAGGAAAAGATGTATAATAATAAGGTTATTACAATGATACCTCAAAGTATGTTCGTGCATACTTTGAGGTATCTTTGTAATAACATTATATTATTATTACAAATTACGCACCCCTTTCTTTGTTGTAGTTTCTTCTAGTTTATCACCAAGTTCATTAAGCTTGTCAATTTCACCACCAAAACCAATGCTATGTATATACATTTTCAGCATGGCTATAATCTGAAAAAATAAATATTAGAAACTCATGAAATGAAAGCAAACTAACTACTAGCATCATGGGAATTTTACTCTGGTGACAAGTTCAGTACACTCTTTGATGGACATGAAGCTATTTCAAAGTCATTGGTCAAAATACATTTGAGTAATTAAGACATTAAACTGTAATTATATTATACCAGTATATTGATGGTGTTAATCCATCGATTTGATTGGTCCAAACACACAATTTGCATATGAGATGAATGATATATTGGCTGATAATGCATGGCTAAACCAAGTGGCCCTTGAACATGAATTGACTACAGGTTTAATACGGAAATACGTAGTATTTGATTTTTAGAAAAATATAGTGGTTGAATTTTGGAAAAATATTGAAAAAAATAGGGAATTAAAAACATCTGAAAAATTATATAACCAAAATATTGCTTTTTGTTAATGGCGGGATCCAAGTTGTGAGCGTCGGTCGTTGGGTGATTGTCGTTAAATTAAACCACCGTCCCTCAACACCGTGAGGTGCCTAAACGAACGCCAGAACGCTGTGTTCTCCGTGTTGTGACTTTGAAATGGATTGCGAACCTCCAACTAAGAAAACATGATCTTTAAGTTTAAATGGTGACCAGCTAGATGAGATTGAAGGATTGAAGGACTAAAAAAATGCAAAAAACTACAAGTCACAGGCAAAAATGTATGCCACCAATAACAACCAGTGTCCTGTAGCGGCGTTCGAATTCTAGCTGACAAAATTGCAGTGAAATTGCACCCGGGTAATTGCCATCTATTTCAAAGAACAAGGGAGAATGCAGAATTTGATGTCGATTCGCACAGTCTTTCTTTCGGTCGAGTTGAGACAAGGCATATCATGTATGTGTCACAAAAACGATGCGAGAATCCGATCTTACACCATCAAATTTACTCCAGAACAACGACAAAACTTGTCAGGCATACTGTTACAAAACTGTCTTTGGTTATACCAAAGATGTATCCAGGTCAGATGTTGGGACTGAGGCCGCCGTGCTGGCGGCCGTACATACACCACGTCCCGCCGCGTCTCAAACTTCCGTCGAACCAAGTACCGCTGAACGTCAAATATCCACGGTTACAAGTAGTATGATGAATCACAAACCGGTTTATTTCACAACTGTACTTTCAATGGGCAAATAACAGTCCAAATTGTACGAAAACCGGAATGAAAACGTGGGAATTCTGTTGTTTTAATGATCCAAACTATACACGACCCTGTATTTCAAATGGCGTTGACGGTCAGTAAAAGGTCAGGAAGGTCATCTTTTGTTATGCTAATTTTTGTGTTTACACTCCTCTATTGACTGGATACGTTTCGTTTTCATACGGAATAAAAATTAGTTTGTATTCAATTTGAACTGTGTTGCGTATGTAAATTTTGTATGCATTCAGCGTACAACTACATACTATTCTTATAAATATTCATGTTCAAGGGCCATAATCATGATCTTATAGTAGATGTAAGTAAACTAGTTTTTTTCAAGTTTTATCGAATTGTCAATATACTGGTATAATATAATAGCAATAACCCCCGCCGAAGTTGGGTATACCACTTGATATTGCACAATTCACTCCATATATTCAATCGCCTGCGGCGGGTGCATATATAGAGTGAATTATGCAATATCTCGTGGTATACCCGCCATCGGCGGAGGTTATTACTTAAATCCTTAACTTCAGGAATCACACAAAAGAGCCAGAGGACACTCAAGTTATAATGAGGGTCAGAGTGGTGAGGATCAGGGGTTGTCAAAACTTATCGTGAGAATCAGGGATTGCCAAACTAATAGAGAGGGTCAGAGTTCATACTCACGTTAGGTAAACTAGTCAGGGTCAGGGGTCACACACGCACATCTAGTGATGATCAGGTTTATTTTTCACTTTTTCCTGAGGATCAGTGAATCACTCTTAACTTACAGTGGAGTTCGGGAGGAGGG